ATGCTTGATCCCACAATATATAATGTAATGCTTGTGCTTTTGTGCAATTTTATGAACATGACTTGAGAAAGTGTTGTGCCTCTTACATTTTCTACACAAACCAGATGTTGACTGTTCGATGACCCAAAGCTGACTGCATAGATGTTTTCTGTGCCTCAGCTCTATGCATACATCTGCCTTAACCAAAAGAAATGTATAATATATTATGACCAGTCAGAGCCACTTCTGCTCAAAAATCAAAGCCTTAATTTTGAGCCAACTAAAAACTCTATATATGTAAATTCAAACAAACCCAACACAGACCAGCATCTGATGTCAGCACCTACACACAGAGAAAAATATGACACAGATCAGCATTTGATGTCAACACTAACATACTGAGAAAGACGCCACAGATGGCGACCACCACAGATGGCAACCAGCACCACCAAATGTCCATTTCCCCACTCACTCCCCCTGTTGCCTTAACAACAGCAATTACCAGTCTTTTTAAATAAATTATGCATTTATTTACCTCTACTCAATGTCATCTTTTGTTTGACACTTGGCTTTATGTTTGCTGAGGCAAAGGAGGAATTAAACATCACAACAGTAGCAACAACAAGGTTCTGTCTTCCAGGTTACCCATTTCCACTTCCGCAACAAGAGCTTGTATGCTCCTAGTATAGATATAGTCAGGCTATGTGGATTATTTTCTCAGACATTGAGCAGAAAGCTGAGGATCTGATCTGACTGAGCATTATCAATGGCAAACTCAAAGAGAACTTATGAGTAGAATGATTTCAGTGGTTCCAGCAGTCCTCACAAGTTTACAATCTGAATATTTCTTGCAGATATTGCAAATACTTAAAAAAATAGAAAGTTTATCAAAAACTGAATTGTGTATTTGGATTTCTTCATCCATTATTGTCATTTTCATATTTTAAAGCAGTCAGGAAATCTTGTTAAATCATATTTGAAGGATCAAGAAGAAAGGTCTGGTGAAAATTTATGCTGTTTGCTAAACTGAATTAAATTGACCTTGCTTCCAAAGACCTTGTTAGCAATTCCTTGGAATTATGTTTTCCAAATGTAAAAAATCCCATTCACATTTATTTGGCAGTCAAGGTTGCCAAATGCAGAAGTAAATCTTTTTCAAAACTGTAAAAGATTCAAAACAATCGTGAACCAAAATTAAATAATCTTCCTCCAGTAAGAATTTAACAAGAAATAGATGTTCTAAGTATCGTCAAGAAATTTACTTGGAGGGGAAATCTAGGACATTTAAATTCTACTTTTGTTAATTCTGTTATAGCACACAGAAAATACTATGAAAAGAAAAAAACATAGGTTTTAACATTCATGTGCATTTTTTTAATATTTAAAGCCATTTTATGACCTACACTACAAATTCTGCACTAATTTAATCTGGTCCCGCTCTAAGTAATTCAATGATTATCATTTCTTCCTGTAAAATCATAAGAAATTGATTTTTACTTACATTTATGAAAATCTAACATCAATAAAATTGTGACAATATCCAATCAGAACCATTTAGAAAGTTAAAAATGTTTCAATGCGTCTATAAGATATTGTTTAATCACATGCACAATAAAAGATAACAAAATTTGACGTTTCTCTCTAGGGAATGTTTTATCAAGCTTGTCTTCCATTACAAATTTACAGGCTTCTTCTCTTGGGAAAGAACAAATGATTTTCTTTGCATTCTTTTGTTTTTCTCTTTGTTTTAGAAAACATCTTTCTCTTTTCCCAAAGGGTTTACACATTCATTCCCAAATGAAATTTATCAAATCAGTTGATTTTTCTCTAAGACTTTTTTTCTTATTGATATTTGTCATATTGATTCATGTCATCAACATCAAAATAATCACTGGCATCATTACTATTGTCATGATCGGAAATATTTACCCACACTCATACAAAAAGTTTTAAAGGAAGTCAAATTTTCAACACCATCAGCACCAATATTTATTGTTCTGTAGGCTGAGAATAAACAAAATTGCTGGATGATCTCAGAAGTTTGCAAGAGGACAAAATGAGGACAAAATGCTTATTTCTAGAAAGGGAATTACCATCACTCGATGCTTAACAAGTTGCAAAATTTTGGTATTTAAAAACTCACTTTGTCCTGTTCTTATCTTAACTTTTGGCTACCAGAATAATTTTAATTATTTCACCCCAAGCAAAAATTAGTGCCTAATTCTAGTAACCAAAATTTATTTTTAAAAGCACCCTCAATGGACTCAATTTCTTCATTACTGTGTTTTTCACCTCCTATGAAAATTTTAGGAAAAAAATATTAAAAATAAAAAGCTTTAAAATTTTAAATGTTCTGCACAGCTGAAGTAACAAAATTCAAAAATGTATCAATTTGGGGTATTTTTACCAAAATTTTCACTCTCATTCAAAGTGCATTTTTCAGTTATGCCCCGAAAAGGATTTTCACTCAATTTCACATGAGGACATGAAAACCAGGTGCAAATTTAACCTAAGATGATCCACTCCCTTCAGTTGTGACTAGAGATTCACAATTCATCCATTGTCAGTGGTGACCCTGGAGGTGCACAGCTGAGAGCTTAACTGCACCAGATCATACATGCACACATGAGAAGAAAAAAAAACATTAAACGGATGAATATACAAACAACCTCTCTAAAGAGGAGTTGGATAGTCTCTGATACATTGCACATGTGTAAGGCCCATGTTTTGTATGAGACTGGCTGAAAGTAACTGATAAAGTATTGGATTAAATTAAATGCAAAAGATTCAAAGCTCATTTTATTCATTAGTCCACATGGATTTACATTAAGCAGTACAACTAAAGTCTTCTCATTCACTTTCAATCCCTGTTACCCCCACTGCATCCTAATGGCATTAGCATCTTGCTTCAGGTGAAATGATTAAAATTTTATTTATTAGTCCACATAGATTTGCATTAAGCAGCACAACTTCATAAACACCAGTTTATTTTTTATATCCATAAACTTAAGACAAATACAGCTTTTATTCTGAAAAAAATCTTTTAACAGATCCTAAGATTGATATATTTAATTATTGATTTATTAAAAACAGACTGTTGGTAAGATTTAAAATTTTTCCAAACATTTACGATCTGTAGACAAGATAAATCCTTATATTTGTTGTATTTCAACATGAAGCTTTCAACTTCTCTAGCAAAAATGATAAAATTATTTTTATTTTTTGGGCTAATTGAACTGTTGATTCCGTTAGTAACAGATTTAGATATCAAAACAAAATACATTTAAGCCAGTCATAATTAAGATAAAAATTCAGTTCAAACAGCTCCTACAAAAAAATATAAAAGCTTCAATTTTCAGACACCTCATCAGTGACCAAGTAGTGGGCTTGCTTGACATATTGTTTGACACAAAGCAAACAGAATATAAAACTTGTTGCCAATCAAATGTACAATGAATAAATCAACTTTCATCACTCAATTCCATCAACTTACAATGAACATGAAAAAGATTTCAACAACACAAGTATGGATAAACTTAAAGGCTACAAAATAAGTTATTGATTAAAAAACATTTCAAAACGCTTATTAATATTCACAATATCAATAAACCTTACAATTATTGTGCAAGAACTTGTGTTAACGCCTAAAACATTTCTTCTTTCAATATTCTTCATTGACTTATATAAATTATTCAGTTTTTTCTTTTATTCACACAATATTGTTTTTTATTTCTATTACTGAATTCTTGTATGAATGTTTAGAAATCTATACATAGATATGTGTCTGCTATAAAACACTGTTGATTACATAAGCCTAATGAAAAATGACTTCCAATAGCTAAAGAATGTATTAAAAAACAGGAAAATTTCATTAAACCAATGAAAAGAGTGCTGAACTGCTATGTAATATTAATCTATATGGCAGTAAATGCTGGACAATTTTCCCACTGATGAAAAGGAGACTTCAGGCAACAGAGATGTAGTCCTACAGAAGGATGCTGAGAATACCACAAATGGAGCATGTGAAGAATGAGGAAATTTTAAAGAAAATCAAAACAATAAGGAAAGAGAGCTGAGAGAATTTGACACTCACAGTACATATTGAGGGACGAGGGTGGGGAACAGTGAGTAGCCTACCTAACAAGATTGTTCAGATGGATGGCAAAACAGAGACTGGGTGGGAATAGTAAGGAGACAAACATTGTTGATAAGAATTTGTGGAGAGTCATGATCATTCACATCCTGAAGGGACACAGCAAATAGAAAAAGAAAATTACAACAGTAATAGAAAGATTGAGTCAACAAATTTTCCCACTCATTAAACATGACCTTTGTACTTACACATTACATAAGGTTGAGTCAATATCTTACACATTACATAAGGTTGAGTTAAAAACTTAATTTTGCTAAAGTTTATTTCTTAGATAAAAAAAAAAAAAAAATTGTTGGATGTTAATGAAAGTAAGAATCAAAGTTGGATCCTTTGGTATCGATTGAGGTTATTTCACAAGAAATCCTCTCTTTCAAAAGAACTATCAATTTACAGATGAACAGAAAATATGGTCATGGTGGATGAGACAGATCTCTTACTTTCTTACAACTTTTGGTGTTATTTTTTCCAAGACACAATGTTAAAACAGCAACTAAGATTGTCCATTATCTCATATCTCTGCTTTACTTTCACCCTTTTCCTGTATTTTCTCATTCTTATCCATATCCTTTTCAATCTCCATTGCTCATCCAAAGGCAAAGAAGAAACCTTAAAGCATCCAAAACTGACCAAATTTATGGGATTATTTAACAGAAATTTAGAAAAAAGCCAACACATAAAAATAATTTTTATCACACTTTTTTATTATTGTTTTATAAAAAAAAATTTCCATAATATTATTTAAAATTTCTTTTGTTTTTGAAAAATCCTATATCAGATGGCACTGATCTGAAGTTTTATTCTTGTGACTCCAAAGTAATGATTTCATTTCCATTCAACAAAGAAAAATTGAAAGATTTTCACATGACAATCAAGTAAATGAAACTTGAGGAATTTCTTTGGATTTGGCGATGTTTAAATGATGCTTGCTGTATTCCGAGGATGATGTAAAAGTTGTCATCTGGTTCTCTTTAATAAGGTTGTCAATGTATGCAGAAAAATGCACATTTCTACAAATAAAAAGGGGGAAAAAAAAGATCATTAATAAGGAGGTTGGATCTCTGGAAAATACCATGGGTTGGCAACTAAGATTATCCATTATTGCCTCTGCTTTTCTCTCACCCTTTGCCTGTATCTTCTCATTCTCTCCCTTATCCCCTTCCACTCTTATCTCTCCCTTTACCCATGTCTTCTCATCCTTTCCAATCTTCATTGCTCATCCATATAAATTTTAAACAAACATAAATTTCTTTTCTTATGCAAAAAAGGAATAAGTAATGCACAAATATTTTCTATTGTATCCTCTCTTTCACCTTTCTTTTGCTCTATCTCTCCATAAAAATAGCAATCTTTAACCTTTTCATTCCTGCTTCTTTTCAAACTTTCACTCAGTGTCTCTTGATATCTGGCCAACAAGCTTCTCAGTGTTTCTTTCATCTTTTATTATATTGTAAACATTTCACCCTAAGCAAGGTAATAAAGCCATTAAAATGCAAGAGTTTACTAAGTTTTAGAAAATATGAGAAAAATATATTATTAAGGAGAGAGAACAACAAAAGAACAAAAATTGAGAATACAGAAGATAATGATTGACATTGCATTTAAAATTTTGAAGATTAAAGTTAACTGGGAAGCAAGAAGCTGGAAGAGGGTTCCACAAGCAAGAAGTGTGATAGAAGAAACTGTTAGCATAGAACTTGCAGTTACATCTAGCAGCCATTTCGACTGTAAAATGATGAGACCTTGCCGCCAATCTTAAATTCATAAAGTCTAAATACCACAGAAGAAAGTTCATCAGAAGAATTATTATGAAAATATTTATAAAAAAGGCACAGGGAATCTACATTATGACATTGGGAAAGGGAATGAATTTGAGATGCCATGTCAGCACCAATAACATTGCAGATTCTTCTTTGGATTTTATCAAGAATCTCTAAATATATAAGCGGAAGCATCAGACCAGATACAGCAGCAATATTCAAAGCAGGGATGAATGGCAGACTTATAAATATGTAAGATAGATTCTAGCAAGAAAAATTATTTAGCATAACACAGTGATCCAACTTTACTAGCTGCAGACTTAGCAATTGATTCAATAAAATCTTTCTACTTTATGTCAGCAGAAAACTTTAGTCCAAGAAGGCTGATTGAAGGTAAAAAGGCATCTTGCAGATGATTAAATGAGAGCAGTTTTGTTTTGAAGGCATTAAAATCAACAAGCAACTCTTTGCCTCATTTAACAAGAGATTGTAGGTCATTTTTGAGATTGGCTCAGAGTTTAACCTTATCAAACTGGATCAGACTCACTATGAAGACAGGAGTAAATAGTTGTGTCATAAGTATAGATACCAAGCTGAGAAGTGATGACATCAAGAAGATCATTTATGAAAATTAAGAACAATGCAGGTCCAAGGATAGAGCCTTGGGGAACAACTGCATAAATGCAAAAAGATCTAGAAGAGTGGTCATTCAAGACAACTTTCATTTCTTGATTTGATAAAACTGACTGACTCAGTTCAAAAATTTGTCCACAAACTCCATAACCTTTTAACTTGTAAAGAAGACCAATAAACCAAATCCTCTCAAAGGCCTTCCATATATCCAAAGCAACAGCCCAAGCTTCATCATTCTTTACATTATTTACATTATTCGGACTATTGTCCTCATCATTTTCACAATATTTATTACGACGTTTTGGCCGTTGTACACTTCAGCCTTCTTCAGGTAGTTGGAATGTCGAACTGAATCCTTTATTTCACTCACTGGGGTAGAAATGGCATTAGAATCTATATCTCTAAAGCCAACTATATGGTTAAGGTACATAGATGACACCTTCATTCTCTGGCCACACCTGGAAGATGTTCAGGTTCTACTGGACCATGTGAACTCAATAAGACCTTCAATACAGTTCACAATGGAGAAAGAGAGTAACAACACACTCCCATTCCTGGATGTTCTAATATCTCGAACTGAGCATGGGTTCAAGATCACCGCTCCCTGTGGGATCAGGTTGAGATCATAGACAAGGAACACTATTGGAAAATTTGTAAACTTAAGGAATCAGCACATATGCTAGGCCACAAAAATCTCCTGAGCTGACCAAGCATAGAAATGAATACAATATGGGAACCAGTAATAAGGAGTGCCAGAGAAAAGCAATAACAACAACAAAAGTTGAAATATGAGCTCTGGTAAAAACATGAAATGATAACAGCAAAAAATTGCAATATGAGCACGTAAAAATGGTTGCTGAAGACATTAGGTTTATAATACCCAGGAATTCATACACAGATGTCCTCATGGCACAGTGGATAAAGGTGTTGGTTAGATCCAGTGACAGGACCCAAAGAGTGAGTTCAATACCCAGTTAAGGCAGTGGAGAACTTTCAGAGGGAAATTAACAGGAGATAACTGACATCCATTAAACATGGCACGTGGAACTAGAACAGTCTACTCCAGTGAGCGAAATAAAGGGTTCAGTTTGACATTCCAACCACATGAAGAAAGCCAGAGCATACAACGGCCAAAACGTTGTAATAAATATGATAACAAAGATGAAGACAATAGTCTGAATAATGTAAATAATGTACATAACACCTCATCTCAAACTTTAGATAAGAATGATGAATCTGTCTATATTTCTGAGATGAGGTATTATGTACATTATACTCTTTCAACAATAACCGTTAATCAGCAATTTACCTAGAGAAGTGAAAGCCATATTACGTATCTGGAAGACAATCCAGCAATGTGAAATGCTTAACCAATTCAGAGTTAATTAGAGACTCTAGTACTTTGCCAAAAATAGGTAGAAGTCTAGTAATAGGTCAATAGTTAGAAGGAACAGATGGTTCATCTGAGTTCTTAAAATTTGGAACTACAAAAGAGGATTTCCAACAAGCAGGAAAGGCATTTATTGTAGAGTTTAGAGAGAACAGGAGCCAGTTCAGTATCACATTTCTTAAGGACTATTAGAGAAATAACATAAAGTCCACATACTTTGTGAGGAGCTAGTTTAGAAATGATAGCAGAAACCATAGACGGAATTAAATGCATATCACTCAAAAGAGTCTCAGTTCTAATTGGGAAGTCAGGTGTATATAAGAAAAATCTATGACAAAGTAAATAACATTTTTTGTGTAATGTGTTTCATCAGACTAAAGTGATGTTTATGTTGAATCTGAGACCTCCCATGGGGTCTCAGATTTAATATCACAGCCTACATTGAGGACATGGTGGATTGAAGGAGTAGCCAAACCTATGACCAAAGGGACAGCCTAAAAAGTTCATACATGTTCCATCCGATATGACCCATAAGTTGTGTGTCTATATCAAGAGTTGTAGGATGTTTTATTTTCTGAACACAGTCAGCACATTGTGGCCATGTTCATAGTTAATATTATTAAGTGTTGGCTTTTTCTTTTTTATTAAGGCTTACATTATTTTTAATCTTTTTTTATATGTGGACGAGGTTTGGATGAGATATTTATGTCAACAAAATAAATATATATATATATATATATATATATATATCACCTTATTAAACTCTATCCACCCCTTGCGTAAGTTAACCATGGAAAAGGAGTCCAATAGTTGTATTTCCTTTTTGGATGTTCTTGTCCATAGAACTTGTGACAAATTTTTGACTTCTGTTTTTTGGAAGGCTGCTTTTTCGGGACTTTATACATTGTTGGGACTCTTTTTGTCCCCAACAATGTAAGATAAATTTGATGAAGACCCTAACACATATGGCTCTTATGATCTGTTCCGAAGGCTTTCTCTGCAGTGAAACTGATTTTATTAAGATGACACTTTCCAAAAATGGATATCCTTTGGATGTTTTGGATGCTGTTATCCATGATGGCATAGGGTTAAGCTGCATCTTGTTAAAAAATGTCCTGTCTATTTGCGTCTTCCCTTCAGAGGGTGAGTTTTTAGCTAGGCAAATTTTGTTTGCAATCAACAGTTGTTATTTTACTGGTAATGTTCAAGTAATATTTGTTACTCAACCTATATTTTCTTCCATTCATATAAGGATGTCTCCCACCATCATGTTAACTCAATTATTTACAAATATGATTGTAGTTGTGGATTCTACTACATAGGAGGACTTCTCAACATTTGGATTATAGGATAAAGCAGCATTTACCTCCCAGGATTTTGAATCCAGCCACTAGCAATAATCAACTAGTTAATACATTCATACATCTATTGCACAACATATTATTAAAAGCAGGATTTGTATTAATGACTTTAGTGTGGACTGTTTTTCTATTCTATCAAGGTCCCACTCTTTATATCATCTCAAGTTTCGGGAGTCATTATATATCAGATCCCGATTGTTTGTTGGGTCTAAATATTATTGGTCTCTAGTTTTCCTTGGAAAAAATTTTTTTTTTCTCCCCCTTCATTAGCCATCATTAATTTATACGTCCCAGAATTAAACTTGATAAGACTGGGATGAAACTGGTTGTTTTTTAGCTATTAAATTTACACTGATATGCCTTTTAAATTACGCTTATTCCTTGCTTATATATATATATATATATATATATATATATATATATATATATATAGTAAAGCAAAGTTACTTCCCTTGTTGCCTGACACATGAGTCAATGATATTTTTTGTCTATTTTTCTAACAATTCATGGCGACCAAAGTGAATTATTACAAGACAGGGCGGTAGTTTTTTTTTTCTTTATATCATTTCACTGCAAACAAGGCGGTAATGTGACTAAGATGCCAGGAGTTACTGAGAGTGCAAGAGAATAAAATGACTTTAGTGATGAAAAAGGACAATAAAAAAACAGGTTTCAGGAAGACGGAATATGGTGATTGATGTTGCTTTTAAATTTTTGAAGATCAAAGTTGGCAGGGAAGTGAGAAACCATAAGAGAATCTCACAGGTGAGGAGTGTGAGAAAAGAAATTATTAGAATAGAACTTACGGTTACATCTTTTGTTATTTCAACAGTAAAAGGATGACACCTAGTTGTCAATCTAGTAGTACACTTCAATTCATGTGGTTGAAGTAGCAAGAAGAACTTATTAGAACAATTACCATGAAAATTTTTATAGAAAAGGAAGCCACATCACAGCAGTGAGAAAGTGACTGAAAAAGTGAAAAGTAACATTATAGATCTTTCTTTGGATTTTCTCAAGGATCTAGAGATCTATTAGCAGGTGCACCAGACCAGATATGGCAGCAATATCCAATGCATGGACGAATGGTAGATTTATAAATATGCAAGATTAAATAATACTCAAAATCCACCAGATTCAAAGGCCCAACTACCCTACTATTAACTCCTGGGTGAGGGTGAAGTTGATTCATAACTTGGGAAAAGCAAGAATCCATAGTGTAAATTGAATGCAAACTGACCCAGCCATTTTCTGTCCTGTTAATCATTAAACCACTCACAACATCCCTATTAAAATTGCAACAGATCAAAACTGGCATCACACCATGGTCAGCTCCATTCATTAAATGAACATCAGTCAAAGAAGAATATTTGATGATTATGAAGAAAGAATTTTACTCACCCTTTTTCTGCATTTTCAATGATTTGAGGAACAAGAAACCTCCATTGTCTAATAGGAGTTTTATTTCCCAAAGCACTCAAGAAGAGCCTCTCCCAGTTTTGAATTCTTCTTTCTTTAGATAATTTCTCTGTCTGTGGGAGATAAAGGAATAATTTAAAATTCATTTTATAAACAAAATCTGGTTTTCATTTGTCTTCAACTAATCAGTCAGATAGGGAGTTACTGTCGAAAAAAAAAAAAGCAGTCATTACCACTGAAAATATTTGTTTGCATTTTCTGCTTCTTCAAATCTGACCAAATAATCAGAATTTTTTTTTATATATATATATATATATATATATATATATATATATATATATATATATATATATATATATGTATAATTTAAAAGTAAATATTTTTTTTTTTTTTTTTTTAAATCGGTGGAAATTTTATATGTGTGTGTGTGTGTGTGTGTGTGTTCTTGAAGGAGTTGATGGTGTCAGTACATGTGTTGAGTGTTGGTTAGATGTATGTTATCAGTGATGAGGTGCATTCTATAATTGGTAAAATAAATCATGTGCATCAGGAAAATTTGGAGTTATGAGTGTGTGGGGAGGGAGTTTGTATTGGTTTTATTTTATTACGCATCCACATCCACACACCCATATACCTCCACACACATTATTTTTCCCCAGCAATCAACATATATACCAACACACAAGACCAACCAGAAATATAACACAGACACACACACATACATACATACACTCAGTGACAGCAAAGAAATTTTAATGGTCAATGTTGATTTTGACCTTGGTATAGCATGTACATACGAGTGAGTAGATATTTAGATAAGATTTTCGATGTCTTCATCCCCAATATTGTGATGTGCTAACACTCATACAGTTGCATTATCTGTGCTTGACCTTTAGACATTGACACATGCCATCAATTTCTGAGGTTATGCCACAGAGTTGTGTACCCATTGTTCAATTAGAGTTGTATGACAAGCATCAAATTGTGAACTTTGATAAGTTGGTTAGTCATTTGGAAGAATTGCTTTGTATGTAAGACAGGATGTGTTAGTGTTGCTTCAGTGTTGGCAACAGTAGTCAAATGAACCTTCCTACATTGATAGACCAGGTTCTGGATGGCAATATAGTAGAGAGACTCACCAATCTGAAGCATTGTAAGGGTATCATTTGTAGATTATATGGTGTCCACAGCATAGATCAGAGTAAATGTTAGCACAGACTGCTGTATACATGTTTTTAAATAAGAGCCACAACATTTGTTTAATTGCTCAACAATAGGACAATCAAGAGACAATAATCTTTTTATATTTTTTATAAATTATTTACAGCTAAAATAACTCAATAAACAATGATCATTTCTCAACTGTTTTCCATGAATATTTTAATATTAATCATTATAATTAAGATTTTCAAAAATTGGACAGCAATATCTAATTTTTGAAAACCTTGGTGTTAGTATTGCCTTTTTAGGCCAAAGAATGTGGAAGACATTTTGAAGGTAAAAAAGAAATCAAAACAAATAAATTTGAGCTATGAGTCATAATAAATGTTTATATTTTTTTTTTTATCAGAAACAGAGTTTTTATGATGAACAGGATTTTAATGTGACACACTGGAATATCAGCTTATTATCTGGTTTCTTAGATTAATTATTTACACTACTGATCTTTATCTAGTTATTCCTTCATCTTATAATTGTTGCATTTTCTCACATATTTATGGGTAAAACTATGGATTAACTGTTAGAATAAGTCATGTGAAGTAGGAAGAGAGAAATAGCATCTGTTATTATTCAAAATCATTTTTTTTTTTTAACTAGTTTTTCATCTAATTGTTGTAACATTCTCGGTCACATACCTCGTCACCATCAAGTCGAAAGAAAGAAATAACTTGAAAATAGGACGCTATGAATCGGGAAGTCATCTTACATATGAACGAAGCTTTGAGGCAAAATTATGTTTATTTATCATTTAAATAAGAATTAACCTCAACAAAATCCAATGGATAAGGGGAGACAACTCATAAATAAATTTTAGAATTATTTCCACTTAGATTAAGACTTTTAAATGTTATTGCCGGTGTTAGGAGATAAATGAAGGAATTGCGAAAAATTAAAACCGATTTATTCTACCGATTTTATAATTTTATTATTTTCAAATAATTTTTTAAAATTATTTAATAATTGCAAAATACAGCGTTAAATTTTCCGACAAATACATGAAATTATAGTAACATTTGTCCTCGTTTTTTTAACTCTCTAAAAGTAATTGATTGCTTATTATTAGTAATAATAATAATAATAAAAATTAATAAAATAATAATAATATTTAAAAATAAGAGAAAAGTTCTTTGTTCTGCCAGAAATGGCCTTTACAAAAGGAAAACGAAAAAAAGTTATTTTCCTAATAAATATCATTTCCAGCATTGATAAAATATAAGCAAATTAACTAAGATCTTTTTAAGAAGCTATAAACATAAAAATAAACAACTTAGCAACAATAAGATTCCATATAATTCAGAAACAAATATTAAACATGATTAATTGTAAAAAACAAAAAGAAATAAACAAATTATGTGATATTTAAATATTTAAAGCTGACATGCAATGTGATGTCTAAAATAAATTCTAAATTTGAACTCTAAATATATTTAATAAAATAAACACAAAAGTACAAATATTTTCTGAGAATGTTTTACAAAATCTGAAAGCATTCAGAAATTGAACACTTAATGTTTAACTTCTATCCTGACAGATAAAACAACAAAGAAGCACCTGTTCTGGGCTTTATGTGGGGAGGGTGGATAAAATTAAGTTTCTGGACACGTGTATTGCAGAGGATCGCTCATGGATTAGAAATACTATTAACAATATTCAAGAAGGTGCAGCAGCAATTCCCTATTCACTGGGTTAAAATCATTTTGTGTCAGCCCCACTGTCTTCCCAAATGAGCAATGGTGAGAGGAAAAAAATCAGTAATGGTACCAACATTCATACTTTGGCTTCCATCTTCAAAATTCATTCAAGAGTGTGTGTATGTGTGTGTGTATATATATATATAATTATATATATAGTGATTTTCCAAGCATGGCAGATGTGACACAAGGCTGAAATTAGGGGGCACCCAGTGAGGATCGAACTCACTACTCAGTCGCAATTGTTCTAGCGAGCCAAGCTTGCTAACCATTACACCGCCTTAAGGTGCCCCAAATAAATTATATATATATGTGTGTGTGTGTGTGTGTATTTAAATAAAAAGAAACTAAGATATGTAATCCGGTGTTCTTATTGATATTTATATTTTTTAGAAAAAAGTGCTCAATGTAAATTTACAGAGCATTAATATTATAAATTAACTGATTTAAAATATGTTTTTTTTCACTACACAGTAATAACCATGTTTCAAAAATGGAAGCTAAAAACCTTAAATTTAATTTTGCAATTAAATTAAAAACATTAGTTCCATTTCATCCTCAAGCGAATTTTGGAGTCTGTGAAAGTTGAAAGTACTTGAGCAAAAATAACAAAATATGAACTTTGGACAGTTTATTCACAATTTTAAGCACAATAATCAACACCTTGTTCGAAAATATGGAAAATATAAAATATGAAACAGACATATCTTATTGGTTCTTTTAAATCAAACTTGTTTGGATGAATACTTACTGCCTAAATATACCATATATATATATATATATATATATATATATATATAAATATTATTGTATTCATCATTTTTCTAAGACAAAATTATTGTATTCGTCTGAAAATTAAATTTTTATTTAATTATTGTATATATAACCTTAGCATATTTTACTTCACAAGTAAAAATTTAACTTTCAGATGAACACAACAATATTTTGTCTTAGAAAAAACAACACCCTGATGGTGATACTGTGTTAATGTTGAAAGTATGCGGAATAAAATGAATATACATCAATATGGTATTTTCTTTCTTCCTTTAATAAGAAAACTAAGAAACGTAATTATGAGAGAATCCTATTAAAAATAAGTAAACAAAACTTGTCTAAATTATTTAATGAAACCATACCTTAATGAAAACATGCTGCCAAAATACATGCAATATATATATATATATATATATATATATATATATATATATATATATGGCAGATAGATATTGAATTATTGAATGTTGGTACATGTTTTGGGATTTCTATTCCTGTCATCAGCCAAAGACTTACATTGATTTAATTTTTAAGTAAAAGTGCCATATACCTTCAGAATGTGGCAATCATGGCTCTCCATAATTTCCTACCTAGTGTGCATATATCTATTAGGTTATTATATAGGACACATAATCTAGTTGAGAAATTGAGAGAATTAAATTATCTGCAAAATATAGTTTCCATGTTCAATAAAGACTTTTGTACAGAGTAAAGAAAATTCTGGACGATTTTTCTAAGATAAAATTCAATTTTTTACCTGTGTATAACACTTGGCTAATTGATGCAGAGCAATATCCAATTGTCTACACTTCTTGTCATAATTAGCCTGCAGTTTATGAAGAGCCATTGTTTTATCTCCGTTTGCTGAAGAAAGGGTCACATAGTTAACAAGTTCATTCAAAGGTTCTTCAAGATCAGTAACACTAAAAAGAAAAAAAAAGAAAAATTCAACAAATATTTTCATCCTTATATAAAAATATTGAAATTCTGAAATTTTGGATTTCATTTCCTAACTTTTAAAGATAAAAGCATTTTCATTACTCCAATCAATTATTTGGTCAAAGATCCTTATTTTTATTACATTGTTTCCACCAGTGTGTTCTCTTGCCTTCCTCAATAATTTAGAGTTGAGTTAGCTAGAGGTAACCATAACTTTTATGGTAACAGTTTTTCTTGCACTTCTTGCTTATGCAATTCCCTCCCGGTCCCATGATTTCGAACCAACTTTAATCTGCAAAAAATTAAATGCAATGTCAATCGCTATCTACTGTCCTCCTGATTACTCTTTTCTCTTTCTACTCATTACTAATGTTTCTGTTCCTAATTCCTCCACATCCTTTAACCTTTTGCATGCTAGTGGCTGCAACTGCCTTGCTTGGGGTGATACTGTTTAAAATTTTTAAAAAATAAAAAATAAATAAAATAAAAAATATATATATATTTTTTTAATCATTTCATCTCAAGCAAGGCAATAATGCCACTCGGATGCAATGGATTACTGTGAGTGTAGGAGAATTAGAAGACTTTAGTGGGTAGAAAGGTATAGGAAAGCAGAAGATGGTGATTGACTTTACATTTAAATTTTTGAAAATTATTAGAATAAAAGTGGCATTTGCATCTAGCTAGTTCAACAGTAAAATAGTGAGACATAGATACCAATTTAGTAACATGTAGTTGAGGTACTAGGGGGAAAAGCTCATCAGAATAGTTGCTGTGAAAATATTTGATGAAAAGACAAAAAATGAAAAATGGAAGCCAGGTTGAGAAAGTGACTGAAGTCTAAATGCCAAGTCAGGATGAATTACATTGCAGATTCTCCTTTGGATTTTGTCAAGAACCTTGAGATGAACAGCAGGGACACCAGACAACAATATGGCAGCAATATTCAATGCACTGGCGAATGGTAGATTTATAAATGTGAAGATCCAGTGAACCAATTTTCCTAGCAGTAGACTTAGTAATTGATTCAATATAATCACCATATTTCATGTCATTGTTCTCTAGGAATTTAGTATCTACCATTCTGATGGTAGGCAGAAAACATTCTCTATGGTGAGTAAATGAAAGCAGTTTTTTCTCAGAGGTGTTAAAATTTATACATGGCCTTTTCCCAGTTACATTCTCACCAATGCAGATATGAATTGAAATATTTGCATGGGGTAAAGTTTCCTAGTCAGTGAAAAAGTGCCTGAGGAACCTGATTTTATGTTCATGCTAATATCATGATCATTTCAGCTGATTTTTGTTTACTTGTGGAAAAAATTAAATCTTTGGCAGGCATTAAGTAATTTTTGATTATCTCTTCAACAACAAAAATATCCCTAGTTCACAAATTTATGGAAACCAGGGTCAACATCTCACAGAAAAAAAACAAAAAAAACTGAATTAGAGAATTAAGCTGACAATGATTCTAGATATGAAAGCTTTTCATCCTTCAAAAATTGTTCTACTAATGTTAAACTTTAAATCATAATCTTCTTAAAAATTTAGTTGTTTATAAATCCACATGTACAGATGTCTTCTATTAACTGGGATTTTCTTATAGAGATTAAAAATGGAAAATACAAAGCAGCTTGTAAAGATCACAACATACTTCTGAAGAAGGCTGAAGATTATATCAACTGAAAGATAAAGATCATCAACAAACATATGTGCAATAATGAATATATTTCTGTTAAAACGCAATATATCAGGCTAAAAACAAAAAGGAAAAAACCATTGTCAAAAAATGGTATATACATATATATATATATATATATATATATATATATATATATATATATGGCCACTTGAAACCTCAGAGAATACAGAAAGGCTGAAAAAAATCTGCCAAATATTGTATTTAAAACAACAAAGATGATGACAATAATTTGGATGAGAGGTAAAAAATTCCATTTTTTAAATGCCATGTTCCTTTGGGACGTTGGCAATCATGACTCAACAAATCCCCTTTCTTATCTGTGATTTAACATGTATTTTGGGGTAAGATAGTGAAGTGGTTTCCTGTTACCTTCCCCATGGTTTGAAATTCTTAGATTGATTGTCATCCAAGGCTAAAGATCCCAATCCACTCTGCTTTTTAACCCATAGCTGTATGGAGTAGCGAGAGAGTTATACCTTTCCCAAAGGCATTAGTACAAATGACTAAACTGGAATTTGAACTTGCCACTTTCCACACTAATAACGATTACACTCCAAACACATCCTAACACGTGGAGAAAAGAAGTGCAAAATATTTTATTTCAGCCTAGACAAACTGATTAAACTGACGTTAGTGAATAATAAACATTAAAAGAAAAACAAAAATTAAAAGTATGTGTTGCTTAATTTTCACTTTTGTTATCAATTTTTATCATTTCTGATTTTGCCTTTTTGTACAAATTTCATAGATTAAATTTTGGTAACTGTCACTGGATTTTCATTATAGTTCAATTTTCTTCTAATCATATCATTTTTTATTATTATTATTATTATTATTATTATTATTATTACTATTATGTTTTAATTATTAATTAATCTGATTTGATTTAATAAAAATTGATAATCATGAAGGTTTATCATTGTCTTTTAATTGACAGCCTCAAGCAATTAAGTTTAATTAATGAAAGTTGCATTTAATAAACTCTGAGCAATATTAACAAAAGGAAGTCATCAATATTAATTGCTAAATTTTGTTTTTCATTTGCTTTGAAGTTTTTCTTTTTTAATTGATAAGAACATCTTAATTAAAGTTTGAAATAAAAATATTTCTAAATTGTGTAAATGTCTCAAAAACATTAAATACATATCACAGAATATATTTCTTTCTTTCTGAAGGTACCAAATGAGATATCAGAAAAATATATAGATAAAAATATATAGATAAAATAAAGGGTGGCGCCCACATTCACCCTATATTTATGTTTATTTAGGCAGTAAATGTTCTTTAAAGTAAATACTATTAAAGATATTTTGTGTTGATCAATTTTAATGATCATGTTTTGCAAGTTATGAATAATAGTGCTTGTCTGAGAAGGATTATTTGGAACTTGGAAAAGCCACTCATTAAAATTGTTGTTTTTAATAGTATTTGCTTTAAAATATATATCTATGTGTGTGTAAAATTTTAGATAAAACTCTAAATATATCTGCAAAAGGAAAACTTATCTAAGCCAGCACATTTTATTCTTTGATGGACTTTATCAAGGAAAATTTCCTCATGTCTTAAAATATATATATATATATATATATATATATATATATAAAATAAATTTCATGGTCACATATATACGTGACTACTCTTCATAACAAAGTTTGACTAATCTGCTGATATTTCTCAATTTTTTTGTATTAATATATTATGATATGAGTGTGTTATTTTTCCTTTTTTTTTTAATTGATGGGCGTCATGTTATCTGGTTGTTAATTTCTTTTCTCCTTCCTTTTCTTTTATTTCTTCTTTCCTTGCAATTTTCGTTTACTGCTATACTGCTTATCTTTCATACTGTTTTTTTCATGGTTTATTGTTTTGACCATTTAATTTAAGGTCATAGTTGGATTTTTATTTTTGTGCATGTGTTTCTGCATATGCCTATGTATACATATACATACAAATATGTGGTGTGTGTGTGTGTATATATATATATATATATATATATATATATATATATATAAACACACACATCCACATGTGTGTATTCATGTATGTGCATTTATATGTTCATGCTCCTATTTGCGTAGTTCTGGATGTTAAGTCTATATGTATTTTTAGTAAGTTGTATTATTTTTCTTTACTTAATGAGTGCTTGGTGTATATTGTATATTGTTTTCATACTTTTTGATATTTAGCATAAGTGTACTTTTGCATTTTGTAAAGATTGTAGTTGTGGTAATTTGTATGTGTTGGGTTTGTGTGTGTTTTGTATGGTTGGGTATTATTTTGTTGATATTGTGGGTATTGAAAAATACAAAAGAAACAACTGGTTCAACATCACCAAAAACTGCTTTTTTATACAACTAGATATAAAAGACTTTTACCCATCCATCAATGAAGTCACACTAAACAATGCACTAGACCTGGCAAAACAATACATGTACATCCCAAATGAAAACCTAAACATTATCAAACACTGCAGAAAGTCAATACTATACTATGACAACAAAATATGGACAAAAAATGCAAAACTAATAATAATAATACTATTAATAACTGCCCTTTGATGTAACATTGGGCAGCTATGATGGCGTTTTTTGTTGAAATCAGAGGCATATACATCATCAAAGAATTAACACACACAATTAGTCAAAAATTTGTAGGATTATACAGGAACGATGATCTAATAATCATAAGAAATTGAAATGGCAGAACTACAGAAAAAAGAAAACAGACTATAGAAACCTCTTAACACATCAGGATTCAAAATAGACATAAAATCTAACCAAAAAAATAGTAAAATTCTTAGATATAACATTCAATCTAAACAACAACACATACATACCATACAGAAAAGCAAACAACAGCCTCATATATGTCAACAAAAACTCCAACCATCCTCCTAACATATTCAAACACATAGATTATCAGCAAATTCCAGCAACATGAAAATATTCAACAAAAACAAAAAGACATACAAAACATCATTAAGAAATAGTGGTTATTGGAACAAATTAGAATACATGAACCAAAATCAAATAAAACAAACACAGTAGAACAAGAAATATAATCTGGTTCAATCCACCCTACAATAATACAATAAAAACAAAAATAGGAAAAATATTCTTCAAAACAATTGAAACTATAAATTATAAAACATAAAAGCATACACATGGTAAATATAAAAATGTGAGAAAACAATATACAATAGACACCAAGCACACATTAAGATAATACAACTTACTAAAGAGTTAACATCCAGAACATATAAACACACAAATGCAAATACACAGTCAGATGCACATACACAAACACACAAGCATATGCATGTGGGTGTGTGTGTATATATATATACTTGTATGTATATGCATACATAGGCACATGCACAAACACACACCTGCACAAAAATAAATACACATACAAAAATTCAATCATGACCTTAAATTAAATGGTCGAAGCAATAAACGATGAAAAAACCAGTACAAAAGATTAGAAGTAAAGCAGAGGTCAACAGAAAAGACAAGAAAAGAAGAAAAAAATAAAAGAAATAAAGAAAGAGAAAAAGAAGAAAAGAAGTCAACAACCAGAGAACATGACATCTTCAAGCAAAAGAAAAAAAAAATAACACATTCATATCACAATATATAAATGCAAAAACATCAAGAAATATCAGCAGAATAGTCCAACTTCAGTCTCTGAAGAGTAGTCACCTAGGTGTCCACGAAATTTTGAAGTCAGCATAATGGAAATACTGCTCACTTAAGTGAAAAAACTTTTTCATATTAATTCTATTAACACTGTATCACTATCTTTGATATTGAGCACTCTACCACAAAGCCTGCTTGCATTAAATGCCTTTCTATCAGCAAACCACTGAAAAATCAGCAATTTTGGCTTCAAAAACAGTCTCTCAAATTAACACTTTTATATATATATATATATATATATATATATATATATATAGAGAGAGAGAGAGAGAGAGAGAGAGAAAGACAGATCTTCAAAAATTTAAATGCAATGTCAATCATTATCTTCTGTCTTCTTAATTCCTGTTCTTTTATTCTTTTCCTTAATAATGTTTTTCTTTTTCTCATATTCTCTCAATAACCTTTGCCTTGCTTGGGGTGAGATGATTAAAAAAATGGAGAGAGACATGGCTAACCAGATAGATATATATGGAGAAACCTAACTAGCTAAATATTGGGAGACTGAGATAGCTAGCTAGATAGATATGGAAAGTGATAGCTAAATGTAAACAAGTCATAAAAGGAGCTGTCTCTGTTTGCAGAGAGAATGAGACCCTGTATTGCATCTAACAACTATGGTTCTCGTGATTACTGACAGCTCTGTAATAGGGAATTAAATAAGTGTAAGGTCTCTACTCCTCCCCTCTTCAATCAATTTGAGGGGTTATTATCCTTTGCTGATAAAGCTGAATGCTTTGCCTGTAAATCCTTTTCAAACACTACTATTGACTGATCTGGAATATCCCTGCCTAACTTCCCACATAGAAGTAATGCTTTGTTGATAACTTCTGTGGTACTGCTATCATCTCTAACCTAGATCCCCCACAAAGCACATGGACCCGATGGCATCCCTGTAATAGTCATTAAAAAGTGTGTGCTTCCAAACTGGCTCCTGTTCTCTCTAAATTCTATAATAATTGCCCCACTGCCTCCTGCTTTCCTGCCTGCTGGAAATCATCATCTGTTGTTTCAGCTTTTAAGAACTTGGATGAGCCTTCCAACCATTCCAACTATTGACCTATTAGCCTTCTACTTCTTTTTGGGAAACTAATCAATGTTGAATTGGTTAAGCATCTCTCATTGCGAGGCTTTTTTCAGACAAGCAATATGGTTTTCGTTTCTCCAGCTCAATTACCGATGTACTGACAATAACTGTGGAAAGAGTCTATCATAGTCTAGATAAAAAATGCTGAAGCCAAGGTTGTAGCTTTGGGCATCTTGAAAGTTTTTGACAATGTTTGGTATACAAGTCTTAACCACACGATGGAAAGTTACAGTCTCTCTGAACAAATTTTTCAACTGGTTCAGTCTTCCCTCTCAAGAAATGAAAATTATCCGAAACAGCCACTCGTCTACATCCTTTCATACTAATGTGGATGTCTCCTAGGGCTCCATCCTTCATCCTGATTGTTTTTCATTTTCATTAATGACCTTCTGGATGGCATCAGCTCTCAACTTGATATCTACACTGATGACACAACCATTTACTTCTACCTCAATAGTAAGTCTGATTAGTTTGATAAGGTCAAAATGGTAGCCAATGTCCAAAATGACCTCCATTCTGCTGTTAAATGGGGCAAAAGATGGCTCGTTAATGCCTCCAAAAGTAAACTCTACATTAATCATCTGAGAGACCACTTGCTACCATCCATCAGAGTGACTCATTGCACCTTCTCAGGATAGATATGTGGAAACAAAGATAGATAGATAGATAGATAGATAGATAGATAGATAGATAGATAGATAGATAGATAGATAGATAGATATGGAGAAACAAAGAGAGATATGGGGAAAAAGAGAGATACATAGATATGAGGAAACATATATGGAGAAACAAAGATAGAAAGAGATAGAGAAACAAAGATTGATAGATATGAAGAAAGAAAGATATGGAGAAACAATGATTGAGAGAGAGAAACATAGATATAGGGAAACAAAGAGAGAGAGATACAGAGAAACAAAGATGAAGAAATAAAGAGATAGATGGATATGGAGAAACAAAGAGAGATATGGGAAAAGAAAGATAGATATGCAGAAACAATGAGAAAAAAGAGAGAGAGAGAAAAAATAAAGATAGATATGGAGAAAGAAAGAAAGATAAATAGAATAAGATAGCACAAATAAAAATATGATAAAAAACAAATGATAGAAAGACTAATGACAAGAGAATGAAATAGCCACCAGGAAAATACGTTTGTAACGCTTTTGTAGACATTATCATCAGACTTTCTTTCAGCTAAATATGTCCTTTGATGGACTCCTTTTACTTAATCAAAGGTTTTTGTTATTTGACAACCAAGAAAATGACAAAAACAGGAACCAAAATGAAATGCCTTTCATGCTCTTTTTTTAGATGTCACAAAAAAAGAAGACAATACAAGTTGTGAATGTGGGCAATACAAGCCCCTAATTAGGCAAACATACTTCTACACACACACACACACACACACTTATGCACTATGCCAAAATTCTATAAGTCACATTGACTTACATAAAATTTTTGACACAATGTTACAATACAGTGAGTTGCAAAAGTATTCAAATTGCATGAAAAATATCCTGGTGTCAGTTTAAACTGACACCCTTTACCCATATGTTGCAACCATTTTGCTTCATATTTTCTATATTTGTGATGTAAACTTGGAAATTTTCAAACATTTTTCAGTGAAATTTCCATTTTTCAAAATTATATTTTAGATATACAGGGAATAAATGCCGGTTTAAACTGACACCAGAAGGTAATCAGTTAAATAATCTGATGACATGCATATAAATTTATAGACTGAGTTTAGTTTGAATACCATTACAAGAATTACTAACTTTAGTCTACAGGTTATTTTTTTTATTAAAATTACAAAAAACTTCCCACTGAGATCATATGTTAAGGTCAGTACTTTATAACAGTTGCTTTTACCACCTGTAACTATTTCCAACTGCTTTGGATAGCATGTGTCAAGTTTTGTGCATAATTCCATGTATACTTTAACCCACTTATTTTTTTTTTGCATCAATGCTTCAGGTGTATTAATGATAGTCAGTTTCTAAATTTCGACTCTGTTTTGGTCAGTCTAAAATTTTCACATTTTCTTCCAAAACCATTCTTGAGTCATTCAGCAGGTATGTTTGGGATTGTTTTCCTGAAAAAATGTAAAATTCTTCCCAAAAAACTTGAAGAGGCTTTCTTCCAAAACTTATATGAATTTGGCACTGTCCAATTCAGGATATGGAATTAGTAAATAATAAACAATTCAAATACCTTTATGCATGGATCAGTTATAACAAATTTAGTATAGGAGAAAAGGAAATTGAACATAGAATATGTTGCACTAGAGCTAGTTTTGTCCAACAATGCAAATTGCTACAAAACCAAACCATTAACCTGAAAACTCAAGTTATGTTCTTGAATAGCCTTGTCAGATCCAAACTTTCAGATGGATGCAATGCATAGGCCAAAACCAGTTAAGAAATATCTGTCAGCTGTATTTCTTAAGATCAATAGTTAAAAATGGCTTTGAGTGAGTGAAAACTACGGATATTGACAAAGGCAACACTTTTGCAAAAATTGTGAACTGGCACTACAGAATCACAAGGACTTTCAACAACAGCAACGACTAAAATGGATGTCACTTGATGTAGCTCAAAGAGAAAATAATCATTTGATGTAATTTGAAGAGAAAATACTGACATAATCAAGATGTTGATATTCCACACTATTTTAAGTAAAAGGTTAGGAAGGGAACCCCCATCAATACTGGAAAGGTCGATAACAGCAACTGGATTTGAGAAAGCTGTTTTCCTAAAAAATTATTTTAATAGAAAGATTTGATAAATTTCAACAGAAAGTAGTACTGGCTGCTCAGATAATGGATGCTACATATTTCCTTATAAGGAAACAGCTAATATTACCATTACCATAGTACCTTGCAGACAGATAAGCTCTCAAGGTTGAAAAGAGAAACAGCCATAGTATTATGGTACTGTCACTATGTTTTACTGCTGGTATGATGTGGGCCAGATCATCAGCTGCTGAGTCAGCACCAAACATACTTGCTGAAGAATCATTTAGATGTTTACTAGCATAATTTACATGAACTTTTAAGGTGTTTTTTCTTCAAAAGTGGCTTCTTTCTTGTCCCCCACCCAAAGAACTTCCTTGTGGATTTGTATGCTGCAAATCATGGAAAGATTTTTTCAGGTTTTCAAGAGTGACAGGGTGGCTTTAGCATGCTTTAACATTTTGGATTAGGTTTTTGTTGCCATCTTAGAGGAACGCATGATTCTTCTGACTACAGATGCCACTTTTTGTACCTTTAATGAAATGGCTATAGATTTAATGAAATGGCTACAGATTTATAGCTTTCTCCATTTTGGTGATTCTCTATTTCTTTCTTGCGTCTTTTGATAACATTTTGGACTTCATGACTGTTATGTGGGTTGTTTAATTGACAGGTAAAATGTGCAATTTCCTAAATGGTGATTTTTTAAAAATTTTCCATATTGCAAACATTTTAATGTTAAGGAGGTAACTTGATTAAGACTTGAATTCATTAGGAGGTTATAGTTTGCTTTTTTTTAAAAAACTGTTTGGTTTTAACATAGATATTTCTAAAGAGTTATATACTATAAGCATTTCAGAACATTTGTACTATATTCATAATTAATTAGTGTCGGTTTTCAGTTTTTTAATAAAGACGGCTTTGAGAATTTGTAGTTTCTGTTAATTATATTTTTGGTGATGTATACAGGTATTGTTGACTAATATTCTTCTAAATTTTGAATGTAGACAGGAATGTTTTTGCAGATGTTGTGCAATGGATGATGAATCATGCATATGTAAAGTGATCTGTCTTGATAACTTTATTGTAGTATGAACAACATATACATTAGCCTTTTTGTCAGAGATGCAATCTCCCTAGGGACATTTAAATTGATATATAGTGTTGGTTTTCTGCAATATGTCAACTGGTGGGGAGGAGTTATTATGGGGGATTAAGTTGGTTGTATTGAATTTAGTATTGTATGTAATTAATTTCATTTTTTTTACTGGAATCTGTGGGGGATATATTAGTATTTATGAGTTTTTAGGATTTTCACTTTAAATAATTACAAAAGGATATTAGTGAAAATAAACAAACACAATATATCTATTTTGTTTAATCAGACATGCTTAAATGAAAAAGTGTTGCGCGCATATATATATATATATATATACGCGCAAGGGTTTGAATCTCACTACATTCAATTTGTCAAGGAGGTGATGTGTTGATAATATTAACCTGTGGGACATGATTGATTGTGAATTGCCTGAAAACCACACTACAAGGGTTAACCTAATCCTTGTGAATGAAATTGGATAGCCAAAACTGTTAAGAAGTGTTATTGATAGTTGTATTAAAATGGATTACAGCTCAGAATCAGAGTAGCTGATTTCTGAATTCAGTTGAGTTCATTACATTCACTGACATGTTTATACCCTCAGGAAAGGTATGAATCTATCTCTTCTACTCCCAGCTATGGTTAAATAGCAGAACAGACTGGGTCCTATAGCTTTGGATGGCAACCAGTCTAGAAGAAGGAAAACTGAATTCAAAACAGTCTGGAGAGTGTTGGGTTCTAGCAGGCTATGTTACCTAAGAAATGCTACTCCTGCTACAGCTGTAGTGCATATGGTACCCCTATGGCCCTAAAGAGTTTTACAGGATTCATGTGAAGTCACAAGTCATCTTGACCAAAGGTTTGAGTATATGCACCTTCTCCCAGAAAAATGTAACTAAAGACCACTAAACATAATTGCAGTATTAATCACAGATTGGTTCTGGAAACACACATGTGCCTGAGCAGGCATCTGCAACAGGGATTATCCATCAGCCCCTAGAAGACAAGCATATTTGGAAACAAGTAACCAACCATTATATATATATATATATATATATATATATATATATATGTGTGTGTGTGTGTGTGTGTGTGTGTATAAAGTAACACTTAAATAAATGAGAATTTTTCTTTCCTGAAATGGTTGCTAGCAAAATTGACTTATCTTTAGTGGGTCTGTATTTTAAAAACTCACAGCTCATAAATATAAAAGTGACAAAACAGGTAAGATTCATTCACATTCATCTGAAAAGTCAAACAAAATGTTAAAAGCAACTTACACAATATAAAAAAAACAACACCGACAACATAAAAATGCCTTGAGAAATGAAACTGTAAGAATAAGATATTGACAAATGCAAGCAACAACCAAATTTGATAATAACCTCCTTTACTCTCTCTCTCACCTTCCTTATATATAAACATGGATAGTATTATATTGTTCCAATTGTGTTAACTTAGAGCTTCAGTCAGTTGTTGGTTAGCTGTTTGTGGCGGACATGAGACAGAACCTGGGACGAGCACAACTGGTCGCGACTTGCCTTGCCCCCGCCAAAAAAGAGCCCATATTTGCTTAGCATGTAAAGCTACTGCAGTTGAAATGAGGGAGAGAAAAAAGCACTTACCGCTCTGCCGTAATCCATCCTCGGCCAGATAACGTAAAAGAATGAGGGGGGACTGGCATTGAATTTTTATGCAATAACGATGCAATGCATTATGGGACATGGACGCAATGAATTATGGGATCACATGAAGACGCAAGGGATTATGGGTACATGAACAACTATAAAAACAACTACTTTTTTCCGAGTCGGAGAGTTCTTCGAGGGACGTTCACGGTTGACGGCAAGAACAGGCAGTTAGTGTGATTTGGAGACAGAACTCAAGAAGGAACGACTCAAGGTTGAAATACCAGCTGGGAGAGCTTGAATTTACTCGCTGGTTACTGTTTTCTTCATTTGCCTCACTGTTCAAGGTCCCAATGGTTCATCACTAGCCTTAACTCCTTTTCAGATGAGACACAGATTCACTAATGCCTTGTTCCTG